ACTAGCTCTGGTTTGTGTGACAGAAGGATTGGTCAGGTGCTTATGAACAATCCTGATGTGGCTGTCTCAAATGTTGAATGACTGTATATTTTCAGGAAGATACTTCATATGGTAAGATGTATGACAGATGTGAATAAGTGAATTCTACAACAAGTCCTCCCAAATCCCCCCTACCCTACACTACCCCACCCCAGCAAGTCTTAACTATGACTAAAAGTTGTATTAGTTCCAATAATGGAACCCCAAATACCCACTTGATAACTCATCCATGGTCATATTCTGCTTGTATTCTGTTTTGGTTAACTAAAATGGTTAATATGTAGGATTTCCCACCTTTAGTTTCAAATTCTTGCTTTTATCTGCTTACCAGTCCCCAGTCATTGTCATTTCCTTTCCGGCTTCAATGTAAGAAGATACTATGCCAAAGAGCGCAAGTCTGAATTACTGAAGCATCCTTCACTTGTTTAGCCAAATACTCAGTTCTAATGCCACTAACGCTGTTTTCAGTTATCCAAGAAATTATGCTGTTCTATATTTAAACATAAAATCTTCCTTGATTTTTTAAACAGATCATTTGCCCTTAGTCTCTGTCAAAAGATAGATTCATTCTGGATAGTGTGAGCTAAAGCAAATCAGTCTCATTCAAATGATTGAACAGCAGAGAAAAATTGTAATGCAAAAGTTCTCTGACTTTAGCAGTGACATGATTAGAAAAGTAAAAATTTTAGGGACATAATTTTTGCATCTGATCTATCCTATTCTCAATCTGCGTTGATTCATTGGGTGCAAAGGCTTAGAACATGAAACTTCAGCCTTTGTTTCAGTCTTTAATTTTTTTCAGTTGACTTTTTCATAAACTTTTGACTGATGTACTACACAAATACACTGTGAAGGTACATAAGGCTAACTTTTCTACTTAGTGTCAGATCCTGCCCTGTTCTTATGTTTACTGCTACATATTTCACATTACAGTTATTTCCTCAGCTTCACTGTTTATTCCTGATGGTGAAAAGGGAGGGAAAATTATCTGGTGATGAATGAGACAAACTTTCAGAGATGGTTTTCAATTAATTGTTGTTTCAATAAGGTCTTGTGCACTGTGCACAGTAAATTTTTTCCACAGTTCATGTGCATGGTCATGTTTTATACTTAGTGCAATACCTGAGACACTCACTAAATTAATCACAACCAGAGATTATCGAATTCATGTTTAAAATTGAGGAATTTTCATGATGAGACTGGAGCTTCACTGAGAATGAAGATAGCAGGATCAAATACTCAGTTCAGGAATACCAAAGCTATAGTTATCCCTTTCACTTAAATTTCTGTCTTTGTACACTCTACATCTGATATATGTTACCAATTAAAACCATGAACAAACTCTTCAAAGTAGTAGAAACTTTATCACATGGTCTGATTCAAATTTCACATCATATGAGAAATAATGTAACACAATATTAATGTTCTAAACTTCTTTCTGCACCATCTGATATGCACCTTGTAACATTTGCAAAGAATAAAAGATGTTCCTGAATACATAAACTTCCATTTTACCTTTGTAGTTCAAGCTGCCAAGTTTTTAACAACCCTAAATATTTAGTACAATTAAACTTGCAGAAACACATCTTTCATGAAATTGCCAAGCAAACAGAGAAACCCTTATTTAACTTTTATCTAGGAGATAAAATCTTTGGGGAAAAGCTCCAGGAGAAGCACAACAGCATTACGGAGCCAAGTGAATGCAGATGTATTGTCTGCATTTCTTAAAGAGTCCAGGCTGTGCTTGCAGCTTGCTCCATCCATGGTTTCAGTAATACTTAAAACACATTATCAACTGTCTTCTTGGAAGTACCTTGCACTGACATTAGTCATCTCTCCTGTGTATACACATCTGTGTAGTCAACTATCCTAATCTTTGGTTTTAGAGAACACAGAAATTGCATCTTAATTAAACTAGCAGGGCTTTTGAGTTTCTCGAGATTCCACAGCAGCAAATTTTCACTTCCCAACAGAAACAAAATCTTAAAGGAACCCATGTCACCAACTGCTGTTACCTATATCCCTCAGAAAACAGAATCACCTAAAAACGTGTTGCATACAAGAAAGTGACAGTTGAAGGTCAAGAAAAGGACAAACTGAAACTGCTAAAGTTTATCCAGCTCAATTAACTCACTGCTCCAGAAAGTTTAGACAGACTTCCAGGAGCGACCAATGATAAAAATGAAAAAATCCTAACTGAAATGAAGGAGGGGGCCTATACTGTCACAGGAGTATCAACTCCTACTGCCAAACCTTTGACTTACTTCTAAAATAAGTATTAGCAAAACTTTTTAGCCTGTACTCATCACAGACAGTATCAGTTTGGAATTACTGTAGTTACACTCTACCCTGACTGACACAAAGATGTGGTTTACAAGTGAAAAGTGAATGCAATTTCAGTGAATTATATCCAAGATCTAACCTGTTCACTGTGCTAATATTATTTTTACTGATATGTTAAATCTAGTTACATGATATATTCTTCATTAAAAGAAAAAATGATCTCTACCTATTGGATGAATTACTTCTAAGGTTACTTTTGCTAGTCTCCTGGTGATTGCTCTGCTATATAGATTAATGTTTAATCTGTAATTTGTCTTATCCATGTTACTTTGTACTTCTCATACACTGAGCTACTTGGATAAAACTTGCCAAGCTGTATGCTCAGTCCACAATATCAATAGATTCACAATCTCTCCATTACACAGGTTGACTGTTAATGATTAAGCCATTTATGGCATGCAGTTTCACAAGCTAGAGATGAGAAAAGGAAACACCAAGAACAATAGTCAACCTTTGCTTTTGTGGTGGTTTTCTTCATAACACCATGCAGGCAGTGATCCAGTATCTCTTATATCACCTCCATGATCCTTCTCTCACAAGACTCTTTCTGGACTTGTTGCTTAACGACTGCAAGTTTTGCCTGACATGACTGTTAATCCGATTTGGGCTGACATGGCTTCAGAAAGACAGCTTCTTGTACTGTTTTGACTTTGAGAAAACTGAGGCTCATGTAGAAAAGAAATCTTTAATAAGAAAATTGAACTATAAAGAATGATACATCACTACAAGGCAAATAGAGAACCAGTGATCAGTGACCTTAACTGTACAGCTGCAGTTGTTGTCTGCCGTTGGAGGCCATAAAGGGACATGGAGGAGTTCTGAAAGTTTTTGTGGAGTTATGTGGCTAAGTCATTCTTAACAAACCAGTGTTAGTGACTACCCCTGGGGTTTTTTTGGAAAAGGAAAGAAGATGCTGGTACCTTCTGCTTCCAAGGCTGAGTGAGCATTTTGCACTAAACTGGCAATAGAAAAAATGTTTAAGCCACCCTTGGAAGTTGGGTGAACTAGATTCCACTCCAAATCAAATAGCTGTTGTAGTGACTAGAACTGGTTCAACATTTTGAATTCTTCCCCATTACTCAATTTAGCAAAATAGGGTGAGAATTTTGGCCTGTTACAAATAATGAAATATTGAGGGTATTTGTCAGGAAATTAAGAGTTGTGTGTTAAATCTATTCAGCATTTCAAAAGCAGGACTCGGCAAGGACCACACAAGCAAGGTTTGTGTGAATCTGATTTTTCAGCACAGTGGTTGTCTGACACATTTTGTAAGATCTCATTGCAGGTACGTGCTAGACAGCCTCAGAGCACAATTACTTCTTTCTGCCATGTAGAGGATGTTTTAGTCCTCCTTTAGAGGAGTTTAATGGTATGCAAGCGTAGCTAATGCTCAGATGGAGACAGTTCTGTACACACACAAACCAGTACTTCACTGACTCAAAAACTGAGGACTTCAGACATTTTTAGCACTTGAGTAGATGTTTTGAACATTGCCATCTTTGGCAGTAATTTAGCCACCAAAGTCTAAGTCTTTCTTTGGACTCATAACTGTTCAGTGGATCTGGACCTCATTATCCTGATTAAGAGCCGTCCAGCAGTCAAAAATGCATTATGACATTGGGGCACTTTCCCATACACAAATACACATTGCTTCTCCCTTCTGTGAATTTTGTATTCTGTGCTCTATTGTGCTTCTACCCTCTGTACCAAGGAGTACAGAAGGATTAGTTGAGGCACTCACTAGTCAGCCATTCTTTTTTTCTGATCTTCATGATCTTTCCCTTTCCTGCTACCACCAAAACAAAAGCAAATTTCCATATCCTAGTGTTACAGAATAGTATCCATTTTAAATGGCACTATCTTCCTAAGAATGGAAACCTATTAGTTCTTTTTTGTGTGATTTCTCCTCTACAGTCCCTCCTGAGATAATTTTCTTTTGCCTATCAGCTTCTTCACTGTAGGATATTGCAGGTGTCATGCTTTCAAACTAAACAGGAAAGAATTTGCTATTCTTAAGTTTTCCCTCTTAATTAGTATTTATCAGTCATGTTAGAAAATATTGTCTCTCTGGCAAGCAAAAAGAGCTCATAAGGCAGAGTCCTCGGTGTTTGCTTCTTGATTGCAATAAGATTTGTTCCAATAGGGTAATTAACGTGTCTGCTCTAATAAATACACCCAGGAAGGAAGGAGCACAGGGGCAAGAACAAGAAAGAAAAGCTGCAATTTCTAAGCACTTGGCCATTCTTACACAAGGGGAATAGTGCCTGACCCTGCAATTGGTGGATTTCCTTTACTGTAAAACATTACTCAGTGAAGAGATTCTGAAAATCTGAACCTAAAGGTCTTTTTGACTAACAAATATCCCAATATAATTGAGTAATGTTTCATTGAAGTTACTATTCATTCACTGATAAAACTGTTTTGTGCTCCTCATTAAAATTAGCATTCCTTTAATGTGAAGGCATGCTAAAAACTATGTGCACATCTTGACAAACTGATAAGTACAGAAATAATTTTAGGAATAGCCTCACAAAATGATTAACAGATGTGGTCTGTGAAAGGCCTCAGATTATTAATATTCTTTTTTTTTTGTCCGTTGTTACAGTTCTAATTCTTACCATGCATTTGCGATCATCCACCCCAGCTAAATCCTCCTCAAACTCCTTTCCTACATCAAATTCCATGATGTAGTTTCTAAAAGTGCTTAGCGTTTTAATGATCATATGATCCCCATTCTGAAGGATTTCTTTGTCAGGTTTTAGCAAGTTTGCTATTTTTCTTACAGCAACATTTACATCTGAAAAAGAAAAAGAATTATTTTAATCCAGTAAAGTCTACCACAAAAAAAAAAAAAAAGAAGCTTGTAGCTCCTGGGAGAACTAAAATGAACAAAGATAAATAAATGTCCAGATCTTTCAGGCCAGCTTTCTCACCAGGAAGAAGTCCATAACCTAATTCTTTTAACTTAAATAATTTAATGTCTTGATTTTCTGATTACGTGGAATCCTAAAAAATACCGTTTTTTACCAGGCCTTCAATATTTCTATAGAAATACTAGCACTTCACATCAAATGCAAACACACAAAACTGCATTAAGTACATTATTGTCTCTTTATTACGCATAAAAATTTTACTCTTTTTCAAATTGTGGTGGTTTTTTTAAGTTTGAAATCTGCCACTTACCTCTTCAAGCTATGTAGTTTAATCTCTGTTAAGCTTCAAGATGGCAAAAAGTAGAGGCTGCTTAAGAGAACAATTTTGTATAAGGCAATTCTTGAAGTGCGTTTCAGAAAAAAATATTTCTCACAAATAATTTATGACTGTACAAGGAAAAGTAGATTCCTGTAAAGACTAAGGTTGCATTTCTTGATTATTTATTAAAGAAACATGAAGGGAACCTTACCCAGTGCTTTCAGATACTCCTCAAAATTGTCATTGCTGACCATTTTCCAGTAACCATTGAAATCTGCAGGCATCCCTACTTTAGGTAATTGTCAAAATCAAAGTCTCAGAACAGTGTGTTGATTCTGCACCACACAGCTCACTGCCTTTCTTTGTGGCGACTTTGGACTCTGGTTTCTTTTATCTCTTTTTTAGACCATGTAGCTATGCAAGTCCTTCTAATCCGATTATTGTTGAAGTGTTGCCTTTAAATCCTTCCACAAGGCTGAACCTCTGAGTTTTCTAATGACAGCAGGATGACTTGATTTAAGCGGAATGAAACATTTACCTTCCACATAACTTCTGCAAGGGTGCTTATTATCTGGTGATATATTTTAACCATATTACTCTTAATTTTCTATGCTACTCAGAAAAAACTCTTTTAAATAGCTTTAGTTTCGGATGTTAGCCAAAGCTATACAAGTGCTTATCCTGTGTGGTTTTTGAGGTGAATTCTTCTTCCTTGAATATGTTCCAGCTATTTTATACTTTCTTCTTTTCAGAAAACGATGACACAGACTCTTTCAGTGAAAGCAATTTGTGTCTGGCATTATTTTAACTTGTTCTACCTAGAGGACTACCAGTGGAAGCTGTTTGGCCAACTGAGGGCTCAAAATAGGCCAGTTAAGTGGAAACTTGTCTTAAGAAGCAGTGGTTAATTCTGTATATTGATAAATGCTACATCACTACTGAATGCATGCTTTCAGTTAATTTAAGCAACGCTGAAACACAGAAGTAGCACTTTATAGAGATTCTGTATTCTTTGAAGGTGTCTTCTGTCAAAAATGAGATAGACTGAAACAAGATATAAGAGAATGGAGTTTTTTGGCTAACATTAGGGCTCAAATACTGAGACAGCCTCTTAGCTATTTTCATTTATTTTCCACTGCATATTTTCAAATGGTACAGCTGAAGTTCCTCTTGGATATGTTATCTACGCCAGGGCCTTGGCAATTACTTACTCTTATAGAAGATGCTGGATCAGAGAAGCAAAGAAATCCACTTTAAACCTGGGGATGAGGACTGTCTGTCATTTGTGAATCTGGAGGCTTAGAAGTGACATGAATAGTGCATGCATTTTTAAGTGCTTGCATAAAAGAAAGATTTATTTCCATCTCTTGTCCAAACTGCCAAAACACAAAAAGTTATTCAGGGTCCTAAAATGTCCAAGTTTAGCAGTAATCTATGTTTAAAAGAATATATATATAAAGAAAAGTTATGGTTCTTTTTATTTTGCTGCTTCAGAACATTAAGTCACCTTCATGCTAAAACTGTCTGCAGGATTACAGAATTACAATTCAAGAAAGTACTGTTTGACCCTTAAGTATTATTTGAGATTAATATTTACTGTTAAGATCTTATTTCTTTTTTTTTTTTCCACAAGGAGGCTGTTCTTTACATATTTTAAGCTACGCAGCTTAAAATTTTGCTTAAGCACTACCACACACAAAAACATGAATTTAAAACATTACATGAATTAAAGAAATTTTGGACTGACGTACTTTCCCCTCATTAACAAGACACAACTTTCTCAAGAACTTTACATGAAAAAAAGCCAGGTCTGTCCACTTCACACACTACAGACATCAGTCATTTAGTGGGTTTACTGTTGTGTTATGCAACTTAAGAGGCTGAAGCAAGTCACCTTCATTCTTCCGCTCACTCTCTTCTGTGTAGATATTATGGTGTGCAATGTAGGATATAACAGAATCTGGTACGAGATATTTTACACTTAATCCTCTGCACAAGGCATAGCGTATCTGTGTTGCACTGATTTCATTCTGAATCCATTCTTTCACCAGAAAGATATTGTGCTGAAATTTAGTTAAAAGGTCTGATTCATTGATATACTGAGCAGGATTAGAGCCAGCACGGCTAATACAGACCAAACCAAACTTTTCCACTATTTCTTTGATGTGTTCTTCCTTCCAGAGATTGGGTGTCTTAAATGTCTGTAGAAAATCAGCCCCACAGAGCAGCTTTAATTCTGGTAGAACTGGAAAGACAAAAGGAAACAAGAGATTTCTATACTTGCTCGGGTTTCTGGGAAGTTTATACTTAAAATTGATTTTAACGCATCATTTTTTTTCTTTTTTTTTTTTCTTTAAATCACTTACCTTTACTCCAGTTTTCTTTCAAAAGGCTTCAAAAAAAATTCAGCTTGGATTTTATATGTTTGGTCATAATTATGTTATCACCTACTTCATCATCACTCACAGCACATCAAAGATTATCTGTACAATGTTAAAGGAGAATTATTCCTCCACGCAAGCAAGCCAAAAATGGGAAGAAGCAAATAAAAAAGAGAATTATTTTAGCACAACGTCTAGACTTGGTTGAACCTGGCTACTCCCCCACAGCCTGCCCTGCTCGCTTTTCTCAGGTACTGTGGGACCAACCCCAGCTAGCGAAGCCCTTGCCTGCCATGGTGTTACCGCATATGGCTCCCCATACCTTAGGGAGCAGCTGCCCTACTGCACTCTGGCACACAGACACAAGGTTTGCATACTGTCACATTAGCCAGAGAACAGCCTAGTATTTCACGTGGGCTTGTGCATCTGCACCTCTATCATCTAAAACATGATGGACTGTATCTAATCTAACTACCTTTACTAGTACAATAAGCTAGTTAGTTGACCTACTAAGTTTAATTTTATTTTTAAAGAAATTTGAACCAGCAGAATATTATACAGATAATATTTTGTGTCACGTGGCCATGCCATTTTCATTCTAGTACAAAGAGAGCTAAAGCCAAATTTGCTGTACCTCATGACCAAGAATGACACTTCACTAGTATAAGTTTTTGTTTGTTTTCTCTCCATGTCCTATTTGCTGCCCACTGCCTAAGCCCCAGTATGGAACTACCTCTTTCCTCAAAGTCTGTTCTACAGCACTCATCATTATACCATCTGAGTATTTTACAAACACTGACTAGGTATTTTCACAGCCTTGCATTCACATGAAATGAAGGGGAAGGATGGAGGTATTGTCTCCATTTTACATTTATTTGTGGTTGTAGATGGTTAGCACATCTGCAAGTCTTACACAAACAGCTTAAATCAGCAATTCAAAAAATAAGAAACACACCCGTGATGATGCATGAAAAGCATACCTTGAACACCTTAAGATACACTCAATTTTGCCCAGGTTTATTATATATAATTGAGTTAACCACAGCAAGGATTTCTTCTCTTCTTACAGCCCTCGCTGCATACCTTCCAACCCCTACAACAAAGGCAGCAGGGGTACTGCCCTGCACCTTCCTGTGCTCTGAATGCAGCACTACTACAGAATGAGGACTGTAGGGACAAGGCTATCTTGAAGCATTCATGCCTGACAGAATCACCACAGACTGTCCACATACTTGATATAATTCTGGGCTTTTTTAGAGTTTATAATTAGTGTGTTTGGTAGGACTGTGAAATTTTTGTAACAGCCCTCTCCCCCCACAAATGACCCAGGAAATTTTGTTTTGATACCCACATCTGTGAGGCTGGAACCTTTAGATTCAATACTCTCATCTCTGATGCTTGAGCTAGTGCAGAAGTACCTCCAAAAGTTGTCTGTGATCCCTGTGTGGACCAGGGCTACAAGAATATGAAACTCTGAATGAATGTCCCAGATACTACTGACTGCCGATGAATGATGAGACACCAAGAACCTTAGGATTCACACAACCCTGGGAGCTCTATCATGATAAAGCTGATCTTTTCTGCTTCATCCCTTCCAAGCTGTCCTCTGCCCATCTACTTCCTCATGCCAGTTCCAATCTTCTCGTCTTTCCATTCACAGATTATACTCTTCCTTTCCAGTTCCCTGTCCTCAGTTCCATGTTTAGACTGTCTCCAGTGCCCTGCTTTCCAGAGCCTTACCTGGGTTTTATGCCACAGCTTTCTTTTTACTTAACAGCAACCTCCACAATAAAACAGTACTCTGTCTCAAACTGTATTAGAGCTAATATTACACCAGAGCTTTTATAGTGTTGATGGGTTTTCTCTGACTGTACATGCATTGCAGTTCTAGGTTACTAGAAGCTAATAATAGATTGTAGGCTTTACAAAAAGGCTGTCAATTTTACAAATACATCTCTGCATATCTCCACATCTTCTGCCCCAATGAGAAAAATGTGTCTTTGGCCTTTCAAAGGCACTTTGCTAAATGATGATCTGCAGTTTCCACTACAGCTAATGGTATAAAACCCAAATGGCTGCTGCAATGGTCCGTACAGTAGCCTTTATTTCAGGCCATGGTATGTCTGGATCAGGGAAATTTTTGCTTGTTTTTGATTGGCATAGCTGAAATTCTTTGAAGTGTTGTTCAGGGAAAAAGGAGAGGGTAAGCTAAAGGAGAAATAACTATTAACACAAAGGATGTAGCTGGATTTAAGGTCTAATTAATGGAATGTTGGAATATGCCAGGAAAAAGCATTCAAGAGGTGACAACAAAGTTGTTCATGTAAGGCAACTGAGAGGCTTGAAGTGCAGGGGATTCAATTAAAAATGAAATGAAGATCATCAACCATCTCTTGTAAGTAGAAGAAATGTTGCATGTGAAGCTGTACTTGGTTAATCAAAGAGGGATGACAAATCCCTGGACACTGAAAAACAGTTCTTTTTAACGCCGTAGTCGTATCGTTTTCATCTTTGTCCTGAGTGACTAGCACTAATAAGCTATTCTAAGTTTATTAAAACTGTAATCATTTGTCTATACCTGTCCTCAGTCAACCTTTTTATTTGCAATATATATTAAAGTGACCTGATTATTTCACATGGAACAAAATCATGAGGTTCGGCACCATGCAAAGAAGTCTTACAGTTTAGTAGGCATACCTTTAGTAGAAAAATAGCTTATTATGGAATTTTGCCAATGCTAAATTCAGCCATCAAGCCGATCTTTGCGAAAGCTTCCATGAGGTGACTGAGCCTTTCTACAAACTTCACAGAAAACCCCAATTCAACAGATTTCATTGGTAGGAGGGTTGGGGTTTTTTTGGAGGGAGTGGGGAGGGAGAAGGAGGAGGAATTGGGTAACAGTTGCCTGCCAT